TGCCCTGAACCGAGGATGGACTGGACACTGTGAAGTCCAGTGTCCGCGTGACTGTCTTGAATTGTCCGATACCGTGCTCACTTCTCGCTGCTGGATCATTCTTGTTATCATACCTGGGTTTTCCCCTGAGCGTGAGAACAGAGTGCGCGTAGTAATTGTTATTATGTGTGTATATTTTTCTACCTTGAAGTTATGTCTTTTCCCCCCAAAATGTGACATCGGTCTTGGCCGATGAGCTGCTCTCGACTATCCCGCATTCTCCTGGCGATAGCTGGCACTTGAACGATTCTGAAGTTGGTCACTAAGGGTTACGGTGGAGTGACGTGAGCTTTGGGTTCTTTGTCCATGCGTTTTAGCCAATCTTATGGGGTATGGGCGGTATGTGTAAATCAAGAGGTATATGTCTTGTATCGGTACTGTATTGAGTCTTTCATATTCAATGTCTCTTCGTCTCTTGTGATCCGATCCGGAGAACATTTTTTTATTTTTATTTTTATTTTTGATCCATCTTACTATCATACCATATAGATCCTATCAGCCAGTCGAAATACTGGCATCTCCCGGGAATTGAGAATTGTATGTGGTTGTGTTGGTGGTGTTATTAGAAGTGTATGTTTTCTGTATTTGGGCCTGCCAATGTGTTGTACACTCTGTATATGCTGAGGAATAAATTGTGCATCATACTAAGAGACATTAAAAAAAAGAAAAAAAACACTGGGACTGCATCTGATAGAAAAGCTAATGGCTCTTATCATAAGAATTGAAAAGAATTTGTGAGCCCAATGGATACTATTTTCTTGGGATTGATTGGTCGTTTCTTGAAATTCGGTGTAGTTGAAGGGATGGAGCAGAAGAACGTTCGTTGGTTTTACCCGTTTCTGGACATCTTTTCTCCCTGCCATCGTAGAATTTTGATAGATAGAGATAGATAGATAGATAGATAGAAAGGCCCTGAACCCCCTTTCTCCATAGTCTAATTTTTATTTCTTGCTTGGTATTGTTATAACTATATAAAGAGAGCAGACCTCACAGGACTTCTCCTTCCTCTCCACCCTGCCACCACCACCACCACCACCACCACCACTTTCGAAAAAGAAATAGAAAAAGAAAAGACCCCCCTCTTCTAACGAGCAAACATTCCCTCCAAACAAACCTACTCAAACTCCGAAATGCTCTCCAAAACTTTCATCCTCTTCACCTTTATGGTGATCCTCACCATCATTTCCACCAACCTCGCCTCCTCGTCCGCAATTCCCACTCCCGGCTCCGACAGCAAAGAAATCGAGGACCTCAAGGCCATGGCAGCGACCACTTTCGGCCCCCCCTCCACCGAATCCTGGCGTCGCTGCGAAACCTCCGACGCCTCTCCAACGATGCGCGACATCTACTTCGTCGTTCTGGAACTACACCAGCGGGGCGGGATGTGTTGCAATGGCGCCGTTCACAGGAACGGGTGCACCAACATCGCTGCGTATGGCGGTGCGGATGTTGGCTTCTGTGGCGTCCAGAGTTGTATCCCTTGCTCTCAGATGGGAGCGGAGGTTTGGTGGATGGCGATCGAGTGCCATAACAATGGAAAAGCGGGTGGGGTGTCGTTCTTGCATAGTACTAGTTACATTGTTACCTATTAGGGCTGCGATGTGATGAGGATCTGGTCTGGATTTATCGCTCTTTTCTTTTTCCTTTTCCTTTTTTCTGAGTATGATATATCATACTGTAGATAAAATCTGAGGGGGAATTGGCTTGGGGTATGATATTTGGCCCAATGCAAAGTTTGTGTCAAAAAAAAAAAAAAAAAAAGGTTCTAGTTTTTAGCGATTAGTTGTTGGACTCGAGGGAAGCAGATAACTTTCTTCATACGTAGTCCATTGCCTGCAGTGATTCCTCCTTCTCCATATTATCTTCTTCTCGCTATGGTTCTTGATCCCAATACCATGCATTCTACCTTCCCCCTATCGTGCGTAAAAATCCCTTCTGAAAGGTTTTATTGAGCTCGCCGGACACTCACGATCACTCGGACGGGTTCTTTCCGTTTTTTGTCTTTCTTTTGGTGCAGGAATGTCCTTCCCCCACCCCCTTAAATACTTTGCTCTCGTCTTATAGAGAATGTTTTTTTCCAGTTGGATTTCCTTTCCTGGTCAGGTCCTGGTGGAAGGTCTTCTGGTTCCTGTGATTGTTCATTCTCCCTTGGCCTTTGTCGAGGATTACCATGAGAGTTTGGTATTGGTAAGAAGTGTGGAAGGTGTTGTGCTAATGGATATGGCCAGCGGGGAGAAGCCCGCTCATATGTTCATAGATGGTTGGTTTATATCTCTTCCTTGTTGCTGTTTGCTTAAATAAATATTACCTTTAATGGGTAATTGTCCATTTTCGTCTCTGCTTCTGGAACTTTTGTTGCAAGCTGACATGCGTTGTAGTAGAGATTATCTCGCTATGGGGGAGTTGATAGGGAGGATGGGAGAGGTTAATTCTACTGTTACTCTTAGTCGATGGTGGTATAAGGAGGGGGGGTTGGACGATCATGAAAATTGTTAATTAGACTACAGCTTGAGTAGAGATGGCGCTTGGACTTTCGGGGTCATAGAGAGTGTTACGATCTGTCGCTCTGATCCGAGCACAAATAGAATACCACCTTGTATAAATGATCGACAAACCAAACTGATGCTCAATCTTCAGCTTCTCCTTAAGTTCCCGTTCCCACAGCTCTGCCTCTCTGGACCCCTATTAAAACTTAACATATGCCTCCTGGGGTTTGACCAATCGGTTCCAAACCTCCTCCAGATAATCAGTGTAAAAGGGAATATTGTGCTTAGAGGGAGAAGAAGGGCTGGGGGGGGAATGGTCAATTAGGAGTACTGGAGGATGGGAGAGACTGGATTGGGTGACCTCATTCACTTTACTCTGTTACCTCTACCTCCTCCTCATCCTCTCCCGACAGTTAACCCAGCCTCGACCTTCGCCCCATCAACAATTTCAGCGCCCCAACACTTCTCCAGGGCCCTCCAAAGATCTCTACAATCGCCAGAACCTCTAGCAAATGGAATGGAGGCACTGAGTTCCCTAGCAGCCTTTACAACCCTCCAATGCGCTATTACCGCACCCGCAGTGACCCCGTTCTGGAGAGCCGCGTAAGCATTGTACTCCTCCGAGCAGATTGACGACATTGACGCAAACACGGTGAGTGCGAACGTGCGCGTGTTCGAATCGGTGTTCGAAGTGAGGCCCTTAACGATCCGGTTGGCATATTTGATATCCTCGACGGTTATGAAAGGAAAGTGGGTCAGGTATTCGGAGACGGCGATTACGTGGATTGTTGTCGCGGAGTTTTGGAGGCGAGTGCGGGGGATCCAGGTTATTGTTGGGGGGTCACTGTGGTTGTTCATGATTTTTTTTTTCTTTTGTTTGCGCTTGCTAGTGGGGTATTAATGCTTGAGGATATAGAATTGTAGTTTGTGAGAGGTTAGAGAGTGGGAGGTTTCTTTATGTTTGTCTTGTTGTGAGGGAACGAGGTGAAGGAGGGATACAGGAGGAGGTCGGGTGGGGAGCCTGCACGGGAAAAGTAACGCCTAGGAGAACGAGTGATTGGCTGTGAAAAGGTCTAAACTCCGGAGGTTCTGAAAACCCGGTCAAATTCATTAGCTAGGGTGAGGAGCGGAAGTTGTTCAAGTTTGACGTTAATAAATATCTCACCGGACGGCGTTTAACCTAGCCGGGTGCACATTTTATGTATGACATGAATCCTAGCTTAACATAATTGAATATATACCAACCAATCCAAGTAGACTACTTGATGGGTGTCGGGGGCGATGGGGTAGCGACAACTAACACTTTTCTCGGAGGAGATATGGTATCATACTTTGCTTGAGTGAAGAAGGCTGACTCGTCTGAGAGAAGTGTTAGTTCGCTTTACCTTATCACCCTCAGCACACTCTCAGGTGGTCTAACTGAATCCTGTAACCTATCTTCTCTCTTCTCGCAACAGCTATGGTAACCCTCAATTCAGGCCATGGCCATTCTGTCTACAAAAGATTTAGATTACTTCTCTCTTCCTCCTCTTCTCCCCAACAACAACCTCAGCTCAGTTCTACCACCAACACACATCGCCTCAACCTTGCTAAAACTTTCAACTCAAATTTCGATCAGTCCATTTAATTCAAAGGTACTCTCATACCCAAGTGCGATAACGAATAAACCTCTAACCCCCAGAACCAGTCAAAAATGCCTGCCCTCAAGAACCTCATCTTCCAAATTCTAATCCTCACAATCCTGGCCACACTTGCCGGCTGCTCCCCATCCGAACGTCTTTCGAAGGAAGCCTTCCGGGGCTCCGAAGTGGCACCTAACAACATGACCATCGAATCGCTCGTGCCCGATTATACCGGCGTCCTCGATGAGGCCCAATTCAAAGCCTCGGGCCTGTCCCTCATTGCTTCCGACCCCACCTCTCAAGATCCCGATGGCTGGGTCGCTTGCGAGACCACCAATGCTAGCCCCTGGATCTGGAATACCCGCGCGATCGCATGGTGGTTCTCGCACTTGGGTAGCTGGAATTGCTGTAATGTGAATGGAAGTGGTGGGGGGTGCACTCATATGATGACGGTTGAGGACGCTAGCGCCGCCATATGTGGGAATCAAGGATGCATCAATTGTGCCGAATTCGCAAGGTACCTTTACAAGTTGGTGGAGTACTGCCCTTGGAATAATAAGGCGGGCGGTATTATATTTCTTCACCAGGGAAGTCATATAGTTGTCTACTAGTTAGTTAATTGAATGATTGATTGACTAAATTATTTTGCTGGTGAATTTGTTTTCCTCCCTAGATGGAAAGCATTATATGGAGTAGATTTTATGTAATTTTAAGCAGTTTTTTTTTTCCTTTCCTCCCATATTTTTGGTTTTTATCTCCCTCTCTCAATTTTGGCCATACGGGGGCGCCGGTTCAGTCCTGCGAACTCAAGAGGCCAGTCCATCCAAAGCTTCAGGTGCATGTGCAGAGTTGACAAGAACAAGGTCATTGTTTTTTTATACCATATAATTCACACCTACTCAACTCTAGAGCGTTTCCTTCTCGTACCCATCCCAGCCTTGCTCGAACATGCGCATACTGTGCTGTGCACGACAAAGACACGACCAATTCCACACCACGAACTCGTGGATCGAGGCACCTCTTCCCGGCTTCGAGTAAGGTGAGCAAAGGCTAACGTATTCCACGTCATACACAGGGTAACGAGCCACGGCTATGTACAGGATACCGGTACAGTGAGTAGTAACAGCTCCCTGCTTCACCCTTTGCCTCGATTCCAGATCTCAACCCTTCTCGTTATCAAACGAGCCACCTCGGTAGATCAAAGGAGAGAATGCAACATATCATACTGTACTGTACAGGTACTCCACAGCCCACAGAAAGAATCCTAACTCCGTGACTTCCGAGGGAGCTCGTACAGCGTAACGCACCCAAGTAAGCTTGCCCGGAAACCGCCAAACTAAAAGGCGGCGGTTGGGTATTTCAACCCAAATGTGAAAAAAAAAAGGGACTCGTTCTTGCTTTGAAAAAGTGTGTTTTTTTTGGCTGTGAATGAATGTTGTTTAGCGGATACCGACCGGTATCTGTGCGAGGTAGAACACCATATATGCCATTACGAATGAATATGGAACCTCACCGGGTGGAATCGATACCTCCAACCTTTTCTGCTGCTTTTCATACCTTTCGTTTCCTCGGCGTACTTGGTTTTTCTAGAGTGAGGTGTAGTAGCTGTACTAGTACAGTACGGCGGTGCGAATCCCACCATGGGAGTGAGGAGTGATATCCTATGATAATACCTCTTCAAGCTTTATGTACAGTAGACTATGCAGCCGTGAGTTCCCTTTGCCAATGTCAAGCGTTCCATGCGCGGTACGGTAGATGGCGGAGCTTCTCATAGCTATCATACTCATCACAAGTACCGACAGAACGGGTGGAGGGAACTAATCCGGATAGATACCATGGATGGGATTCCAAGAATACTCGTAGTATAGTACCTCATATAGCAGAGCAAAACTCTAGCACCGTAATCCACGCACAGCATTCCAGTGCCTAGCGTACGACTCCACCAGCTACAATACTCAAACCGCTCTCGTTCACAGCACCCAGTCAGAAACCGGTACCAATGCGAGTACTGTACTGTACATAGGATACCATACTTGTAAAAGTCAATCTAGAATCCAGAAGCCAACAACCGACGCGCTCCCCACAATACTTTTTAACTTATCTTGGACGAGTCAAACCTTAACTCAACCTCAACGACTCACCCACCCTCTCGGTGATACAAAGTGATTGCCAAGAATTCGCTTGCATTTGCATCACGCGGCATTGCGCCAGCGACCCTTTTTTTCCAGAACGAAAACGTGGAACTGCGAGTGGGTAGTATGATATCGGTGCTCACAACCGTCTGGCATAGATCTCTATTACTATTACCAACACCTTCGGGGTCGAGAATCCGTTGTGCGGCACGGCTAGGCCCGCTCACCCGCGCGGAAAGAGTCAGGATGGAGCCATTGGAAATGCCGGTCTTTTATTGCGTGTGAGTGAAACTTCTCTAACCCCCCCCCAGAGTTATGTGTTCTAAAGAGGGTTCTAATGTTATCATTCGACTCGTAAAGCTACCTGCTTCGCTCAACGGTACGTCCAAAGTCCTTTTATATAGGCTCGACACCGGATCCCCGACGTCGCCTCGCGCAGCATAATGGCCAGACGAAGGGTGGAGCGGAGAGGACTAGTAGGGAGAACTTGAGGCCTTGGGAAATGACTTGTATAGTGTCTGGCTTTACATCTTCTGTGGCGGCTCTACAATTTGAGTAATTCCTCCCCCACCCCTCCTCTCCTGAATGATCGCTAATAGTGATGGTGATGGGGGGGGGGGGAAAGATGGGCCTGGCAAAACCCACACAAGACTTCGAAAATCGAAAAATCCCAGCGCATCAGCAAATCCATCCGTATAAAGACCAACTTTGGCAGAACAAGGATCATCTCCCCGCGCATGGGGGCGAAAGCACTCCTGGCGAACCTGCACCTCCTCCTGCGCGTGCCGGCATTCGCGCGATGGCCGCTGTCGGTACGCTTCTTCGCCGAGGACCTGTACGTGGCGTGGGAGGCGCACTGCGGGACGAGATGCGGTCCGCTAAAAGCCGTCGAGGTTAAGCTGGACCTGCGGAAGAGTGAGAGCTCGAGGAGTCCGTCGCCCCCGCCCAACCGTCGGACGGGGTGTAAGGTGAAGCAGTTCTCACCCACGGGGGAAGGTGGCCTTCAAGGGCTCGACATAACCAACCGTCATCTCGACCGGCATATGCAGAAAGCCAGGGACCTGCTGCGCGACGAGGATATCAAGTGCGGGGTCTGCGCCGGGGGGGTTTCACATGATGGCGGGGCAACGGCTGTTGTCTGCCCGCATGCGTTTTGCAATCATGTTGCGCATTTGAAGTGCCTTTCTCAGGTCTTTTTACAGGCGGACGTTAGGTATGCGGTGTTGCCGACGGAGGGTTTGTGTCCCGAGTGTAATAGGTCCACGAAATGGGTGGATCTGGTCAGGGAGCTCTCGTCGAGGACTAGGCGGAGGTCTGAGGCGACGAGAAAGAAGAGTGCTGGTGCCGTCGGGACGGTTGGGCGAGAGGATGAAGAGGATGAAGAGGAGGAGGAGGAAATGGATCTTATGCTGAGTGACGACGAGCTCGGATTGTATGATATTGTGGCCCGCGTGAGTGACAGCGCCGGCTCCATATCCACCTCCGACTCGGACTCCGACTCCGAGGCCAGCGATCGTTCGAGGGGCAGTGCCTGGAAATCCAAGAAAAAGAGACCCGGGAATAAGAATTAAAGGAAAGGGGCAGATATGATACCTCAAATGAAACCGAAAGAGCGAAAGCAATGATCGGGCTTGGAAGCTAGATTTTGGGATATCCCTCTCGTTTGTCTCCCCTTGTATTATTAATTGTTAGTACAATGATCGATTCGGCATGTTTCTCATGAATACAACCATAGTCATAAACACTGGTTTCTGTCGACTGGCAAGAGTGACCAATTGTGCTTGGCATGAGACGAGCTGACATGAGCCTTTCGAGTCTATTGAGACCTATGTTCCAATGACAGGTAGCAGTTATGTAACAATATGGCAAGTCAGAACCCAGAAGTCGTCCGTCTCGTACTATTATTGGCTTTAAAAAAAGGGTTAGATGTAGTAAACCAATTACCAGTACTACCCAGACCTTTTCTTCCCTTTCTCAAGACATCGTTGTATTATACTCTACATTGGTATCATAATGAAGCCTAGCATTATTTTACAGCACAGCCATTTTCATATAACTTTTTGTCCGGATCTAACTCGATTTTGACATACTGCGCAGATTCGTTAGAAATAAACTCAACATAACCAGCTTCCTTCCTCGTGAGTGTGTAGATAGTACTTAATCCCCCCAACCTTAGCCATCAATAAAACCCTTCTCTATGGTTCCCCCAAGGAGCCCCCAAGATCTCACCTATCCGCCTCATAGCCCCTGCGGATCTCGTGAACGGCTTCTTTGTCTCTCTTCAAAGCTTAAACCAGCACCCTGGTGATCCACCTCCAAATTACTATTCCAAACCCGACCACGCCCAGTGCTCCCCCCCGAAGCACTGGCTCTGGCCCTGGGCCTCCTCTCAGAGGTTTCTCGCGATAGGGGCGTATCCGGTTTACGGGGCCAAAGGTCCCTTATTATGAAGTTTTTCTTCCAGCACACCTGTTCTAGCTCGCTGGCCGAGGTACTTGCACTTGAGCGCACACTACCTTTATCTCGGGGTTTGGCTTTAGATAGCTTCATTATCTCCTGGTATGCCCAACGCCTTTGATCAGGAGTGTCAGCCCCCACCCCCTCGAAACGCTAGTCAAAAGGGAGTATTACTTTACTATACATTTTTTTGAGTAGATATCGAGCTCAAGAGGTCGGTATCTACCGCAAAAGCTGGTTTTAACACAACTCTTCTAGAACTCGGGAATGGTACATGATGTGAAAAATATTATAGCACACTTTTAAAACAATTATCCACTTTCTCTTTCAAAAATCACTTTATTTTAGCATTTTGTTAATAAATACATAGTTCTTACAGTGTCTTTAGTACCCATTTTAACCCAGGTGCTTTTGCCTATAGATAGCTTGGTACATTCACATATACTACCACAAATGGGAGGATACTATTGGCTAACACCATGAAGTAACCTAATGGAATCTCCCATGTTTACTCGTTACTGAAAAGTCATCTTTTTAACTTCGAATACTCCTACTAATCGAGTATGGTACAGTACTTGTACTGTACTTGTCTCATGGAAGAAGTACCGGTATTTGAAAATATTAATCTGCACCGAATCACTGATCTGGTTTACATCAGTTAAACACAAGTCACAAGTTTGTATTGGCATAAAGATATGCACAGATATTTTGCCATATACAGGAGTACTCGTACCTTGTGAATCCCTGCCTTACCCCTGTTTCCGAATATTTCTTGCCTGGGATGAGTACTCGTAGATAGCTAGAGCCTCTGGCCGAAAAAATCAGGAAGTCTAGACAAAGCCAGTGATAGTCTTACTCCCTGTCAACCCCTGCACCCCTGTTTCCCCATTTTTCTACCAGGGGCTGTACTATATATTTCCTCTTGTACCCCAAACCATCCTCTTTATTGCAACATTGTCACCATTTCTCTTAATGGGTACTCTCTCTCTATCTGCCGTCTCCGACTGTTTATGACTCCCCAACCTCCTCTATCCCTCCAATGTCTGAAAACATGCTCCCCCATTTCTATCCTCATCTTTCAAATGTTAGAGAGTGATGCCTCCTTGTATAGGGATCAAAGTACTCCAAGCTGCATAATTTTCTGACATTTACAGGATGAGGATGAGAAGAGAGGAGGATGTTTTTAGGTGTTGGTGAGATGGGAGAGAATGGCTGTTACCCCATTCTTGCTTTTTCCTCCCTCCTTTCCCCTTCTGCTTAAAGACATTCCTCTCCCTCATGCCTAGTATTGTATAAAGACCCAATTTTCACCCCCAGTTGCTAACTCTTACTTCTGTAATCCCACACCTTCCTTCTTGCCTGACTTTCTTTATTCCACATCTTAAACCTATCCTTTTCTACATGTAATTTAATACACAGCTGACCAATGCCGTCCAAGTACTGCTGACAGTTTAAATTTCTACTTGAGCTGTAACCAGTATGGGTACTCGGTTATGGGTTTGGTTTGTTTTATGTTTTGTTTTAAGTATTGTCTAATACTATAGTTTGTTTTATGCTTTGTTTTAAGTATCGTTTTGATACTTAATTTGTTTCATCAAAGTATATCGTTCAATACCTTTGAATAGTTTCATTCATGCCAGATATGAACAGATTTGTGTATTTAAAGACCGCCTGATTCCATGATGGAAACAGCAGACTTCAACAGACAGTATCTCAATATACTTGGTTGAACAGTTACTTCTTTGTTTCCTCAATACACCCTCGAAGCCTCCTTTAGTTATCAGCTCTTACCTCCTCACTAATAGAGCAGACCACCTGCCAACTATAGTACCTTTTAGTGATAAAGTGATTAGCACCTTGTGAGCACGTTACACGAGCTATCTCATAGTGACTGGCCTATGGCGAGAGGCTCTAAGAAAGTTCAACCTACTTCGGATGGGCTACCTGAAAACTAGACTTTATTCAATTACTTCTACAATTATAATGAGACTCCATGGAGTACTATTACAGTTGACCAAACCTATACCCATACCGGTGTCAAAGACTACTGTGGTAGGAATGGTGGTAGACTAGAGTCTACCGGGTAGAGGTACTATTGGTTAAGTACCTCAGATAGGCATGCTATACCATACTAAGGCTCTGTTTGGCGGGAACGGAACCGTTCAGGAACGGTCCATTTCAAAATGGTTGCAACAGGTGAAATGGAGCACTTCTGTTTCGAAACGGTTTCTCTTACCTTCAATTGAGAATTTTTTTTAACCCCTGGCAACACTCTATAGGGCAGAGTAATTTTGAATACCATACCCTAATAAATCTGCTTTTTTCTTTTTCTTGTAAACAAATGAAATAAATTCTATATTATGTGCAAATCTCTCAGTCTCCTGTACAAAAAAAACTATCTTATCTTAACATTCGTGAAAACTTCTCCCTTCTCTAAAGAGGTTTCAACTTATTCACAGATACCAAGATGGACGAGCATTCTCCTCAATACCAGTGTGTTACCACTTTCACCATACTTATCATAATTGTTTACTAATTTAAAATAGTAGTTCACCTTTGAATACACAAACCTTGAGCGATAAGACTCAATCAATACAGTTAGACTCAGATACTACTGCAAGTCAAAATACTGCATGTATACTACCAAGTGGGCATCAACCTGAGTGTTCTAACCACTCCTGCGAGATTGAAGGTAAGTTAAATATCACTATAGTTACTATGATAAGTTCTAACATTTTTTTCAGAAAATTTATCCGAAATTCATGTTCTAGACCCCTGTGAAGTACCTTCCTCCTTTACGGGAAGCAAGCAGAAAACCCGCAAGTCTCGCCGGCGTCCAGTTGAATGGTCTCCTGAAATGACATCTGTGTTGTTGCGAGAACTAGTTCAAGCTATTAGGACTGGAAAACGATCTGATAATGGGCTAAAGATGGAAGTTTGGGATGAGATTGCTGAGACAGTTCTTCTGATTGCTGGACCTGGGGCTCCTGTAACAGGTGAGAGATGTCAAGGCAAATTGGAGACCTTGAAGAAAAAATGGAAGATGTGGACCAGGTTGAAAGATTTGAGTGGTTTTGGGGTTGATCTTAAGACTGGTGCGGTTACTGCACCACATGAAGTATGGGAGGAAGAAATAAAAAAACAGCCTGGAATACGAGAGTTTCGTGACAAACCACTTGCAAATGCAATTGAGTTGGCGGAAATCATGGAGGGAGTTCAAGCAACAGGTGGTCATGCAATCTATCCTGGCCATACAAAATTACAACAAATTACGATTCCTTCGCCCCTTAGGTCAGATCTAGCAACTCAGGCTGATCCAGAGCAGACCAGCCCCGATACAAGTCCTCATCAACATAAGCGGAGAAGGCTAGCACCACTGGGACATATTCGACAACCTCCAAGGAGTGTTTCTGAACGGCTGATCACTGCTGTTGAAGGGATGGCCACTACACCAATTACTATTGCAGCATCCCAATCAGTTGTTCAGCAAGCTGTATCAAAGCTTCAACAAAAGTATAAAGGAAGACCAGGGTGGTCAACACAAGATATTGTTACTGGATATGAGCTTTTTGAGAACCCAGTTAAGGCAGAAGTGTTTTTAGCATTAGAGGAAGGTGAAGATCAGGAGCTTTGGTTAAGAGGTCAAATAGTACGTTACAAGGCCTAGGAATTCTACAGCAATTAGTCTACTGTGACTGGTTTTGGTATTGTACATAATCAAGCCACATTTGTGTTGCACGTTTGTCTCGATTTTGTTTCATCTCTCCCATATCTTGTGCATCTCTAATATTTCCTTCATCCTCCTCCTCATAACTTGGATTTGATTCCTCAGAGTGATTGATGTTTTCCAAGGATGAATCAGCATCCTGGTAAAATTGATCCTCCTCTCCATTTGCCCGGTGTCGAATAAAGTTATGTAATGCACAAACTACCAATATAAGTTGAGCTTGTGTGGTAAGGTCAAACTCTGGAGCTGTATTGAGAATTTGAAACCTCTTCCGTAAAACTCCAAAGATACGTTCAATAACATTTCGTAACTGAGCATGACGTAGGTTGAAAAGCTCTTCCTTAGTTTGTGGACGTAAATGAGCTTGTGCTTGCTCCCGCAGATGATATCGTACGGTACGGTATGGTGTTAAAAACCCAGGACGAAGACTATATCCTGCATCTGCAAGATAAACTGTATTTTCATGTCTTGGAAATCCATGAATCACAGCATTTTCTAATACTTGAGCATCATTGGCTGAACCCTCCCAGCCAGAACATACATAGAAAAAGTACATATCCAAGCTGCATCCAGCAAGAACATTTTGCGAGAGGGTACCTTTCCGGTTACGATAGGGACCCTGCTGGTTTCGTGGGACATGGGCCAAAATGTGTGTTCCATTGATTGCTCCATGAACATCCTTAAAATTGGACATCTTTCCCCAATTTTTCCGTATTTTTGCAGGAATATTGTTTGGTGGAAGATGTACAAATGCTTCATACAGAGGTAGGAGAGCCTTTAGAACTTGATGAAAATAGCTGTAAAATAATTAGAATAATAAACATTTCATATATAAATATTATAGTGCAATTAATA